TCTAGTTAAACTATTTTTCTTCTTCTAGTTAATATTTTTAAACAACATAAAGTAAATTTTTTTGGTCAAAAATACTTTTTCCAATTTTAAAAAAATTTCTAAAATTTTACACTTTTTTTTGGAATTTTTTTTGTTTAAGTAGAAGATAAATTATAAAAAAATATGAATCTCTTTGAATTTTTGGTTTCCGATAGAAATGGCGACCTGCATCCTGCCCGCCGTCCGACAAATGCACATGCTAGATGCATAGGGGAATCGCTTCCCAAAGGCGGAATATCAAAGATTTMGTATCCAAAAAAATTTGTGAATGATACTTAAATACATAACTATAAATCACAGAAATGTCGCGTTAATTAATTATTCCTTTCCTTCCCAAAAAAAATCCTCAAAAAAATCGATTTTTTGAAGCCTCTAAACCAGGCTCCCCTCTTAAGATTGCCAGAATCTTCTGTGTGATGTTTATGTGAACTAATTGGCTATGAGCCAGTAATTGAAATATTGATAGTTCTCGGTGGTAAATTCGTTATTAATGAACCAGTAATTAGAACTTTTTTACATTTTAAAGCACGGTAAGGTTGGTAAAATTTTTTGTATGAAATTTCTTATTTTGTATGAAATTTCTTATTTTGATAATTTCTCCTTTACAACTGAGTTCAGAGACAAACATTTTTATTATTTTTATTCTCATTTCTTTCTCATTTATCTCGCAAAAGAGATAAGTAGATTGTGCTTTGAAATATTTTTGTTGGTAGAAGCTGGTCTACCAAGAAACCGCGCGTCAAGTGGCAGTGAAGAGCTGAAGTAGACACCTAATAACCCAGATTTGTACAAACAGGTTCAACGTGATGACTAAAAACCCCAGCAAGGTGAGCCAAAAGGACTGCAGTTTGCCATTTTCAAACCAACCAGTAATCTTATTGGAAATCAAAACAATTAAAAGATGCCTCAGTAAATAGTACAACTGCAATGACTAATTTTTTGACTCATTAATTTCAACATAACATAATCCTCATATTGTCTTACTCCACACTTACGCACACGAAACTTCAACACAATCTGCATATTAATTGATTACTGAAAAGTGTCCGCCGCCACATATGTACACACATATGTATGTATGTATGTGCATCCAAACACACCGCAAGCGAAACAAGCGACAGTCGGTAAAGACTCGTGTATTGCACGCATTGGCGCGCGCCACTTTGACCAGCAACCGGGCAAACGGCAACATAAGCCAACAACAAAAATAATATAAAACAATTAATTTTCGTATGTATGCACCATTCAAGGATTTGTACTAAAATTTCTCAAACTTTCCCACACTCAAATTCAGCTGTCGAAGTGCTTAACAAACAACAACAGCAGCAGTAGACAATTATGCCATTATCCTGAAGCAACACACACTGAAAGTCAGCAACAACAAAAAACACAAAAAATGCTATGAATGCATTAAAATTCCTCAGTCGCGCACATTGCGTAGGAGTTGCGCATACAAACAGACATACGACTGCAAAAAATGCAACATCAANCGCCGTTCGACAAATGCACATGCTAGATGCATAGGGGAATCGCTTCCCAAAGGCGGAATATCAAAGATTTAGTATCCAAAAAAATTTGTGAATGATACTTAAATACATAACTATAAATCACAGAAATGTCGCGTTAATTAATTATTCCTTTCCTTCCCAAAAAAAATCCTCAAAAAAATCGATTTTTTGAAGCCTCTAAACCAGGCTCCCCTCTTAAGATTGCCAGAATCTTCTGTGTGATGTTTATGTGAACTAATTGGCTATGAGCCAGTAATTGAAATATTGATAGTTCTCGGTGGTAAATTCGTTATTAATGAACCAGTAATTAGAACTTTTTTACATTTTAAAGCACGGTAAGGTTGGTAAAATTTTTTGTATGAAATTTCTTATTTTGTATGAAATTTCTTATTTTGATAATTTCTCCTTTACAACTGAGTTCAGAGACAAACATTTTTATTATTTTTATTCTCATTTCTTTCTCATTTATCTCGCAAAAGAGATAAGTAGATTGTGCTTTGAAATATTTTTGTTGGTAGAAGCTGGTCTACCAAGAAACCGCGCGTCAAGTGGCAGTGAAGAGCTGAAGTAGACACCTAATAACCCAGATTTGTACAAACAGGTTCAACGTGATGACTAAAAACCCCAGCAAGGTGAGCCAAAAGGACTGCAGTTTGCCATTTTCAAACCAACCAGTAATCTTATTGGAAATCAAAACAATTAAAAGATGCCTCAGTAAATAGTACAACTGCAATGACTAATTTTTTGACTCATTAATTTCAACATAACATAATCCTCATATTGTCTTACTCCACACTTACGCACACGAAACTTCAACACAATCTGCATATTAATTGATTACTGAAAAGTGTCCGCCGCCACATATGTACACACATATGTATGTATGTATGTGCATCCAAACACACCGCAAGCGAAACAAGCGACAGTCGGTAAAGACTCGTGTATTGCACGCATTGGCGCGCGCCACTTTGACCAGCAACCGGGCAAACGGCAACATAAGCCAACAACAAAAATAATATAAAACAATTAATTTTCGTATGAATGCACCATTCAAGGATTTGTACAAAAATTTCTCAAACTTTCCCACACTCAAATTCAGCTGTCGAAGTGCTTAACAAACAACAACAGCAGCAGTAGACAATTATGCCATTATCCTGAAGCAACACACACTGAAAGTCAGCAACAACAAAAAACAAAAAAATGCTATGAATGCATTAAAATTCCTCACTCGCGCACATTGCGTAGGAGTTGCGCATACAAACAGACATACGACTGCAAAAAATGCAACATCAAATTTTGTGTGTGTGTGTATGTGTGTATGTGTGCATGGCAATCCAATAAATCGAGAAGCAAACATAACGCACGAAAGCCTGTAGAACTTACATGCATACATATGTATATGTGAGTTTGTTTGTATGTACAACGCATGTGCATTGCCGGCGAAGCAACGGATCAAAATACCGAAACGAAAAATAGCAGCAGCTGCAAATTTTCAGATCCTTAAAAAGGAGCATGTGGCTAGCATGCATAATAACAGCAACAACGAACACATGCCGAACGGAAAGTGCTGTGTGAGAAACTCACTTTCGTGTTGGTTCCCACGCCACGAGCCATAAGGCAGGTTTTTTTTTTTTTTTTTTTTTGGAATTTTGTTGAACAACGGATTTTTTGTACGTCCCTTTGCAGCCAAGTGTCCTCGTCGTCATCATTCAGTTTGGCTAACCAAGTTGAGCACACCTAAATACTTGCTTATTAATATRAGTGCACACATACATATATATATGTATATGTATTTGTAGGTTGTTAATGCACTTTACACTATTTTATGAGGGTTGTACCCAATTTAGCTGCGCAGCAGTGCTAAGCAAATAAGACAAAGAAACTCTCACATAAGAGAATGAGAATCCAGACTAGTCCTTGCTGTTAATAAGGGTTGCTCGAGCAGAGTATAAAAGCGCGTAGTCCTGCAGGATCCGACAACACATTCGTATCAACCGGCGAAACGTGAACAACGAGCTCGACACGCAAAACGCACAAAATGGCACAACAAAGCAAAACACAAATTTACTTAAAAGTCAAGAAACCGCTATTGGAACGTCAAAGACGTGCACGTATTAATAACTGTTTGGAGGCATTAAAGAAACTCGTCGCTGAGTTACAAGCTGATGAAGCCGTACTACGCATGGATAAAGCAGAGTTACTCGAGCAAACACTTGTTTTCGTACGTCAACAGTGCCGCGTTAAAGCACAGCAACAAAGCGCACAAGTGCACACCGATTCATTTCGTAATGGCTATATGAATGCAGTTAATGAGGTGTCACGTGTGATGGCCTCAACACCCGGCATGAGCGTGCAAGTGGGCAAATCTGTAATGACACATTTGGGTCGCAGTTTTAATCGCCTGCARCAGGAGCAGCAGCAGCAAGAACAGCCACAAAATATCACAGTTCAACAGCAGCAACAAGTATCGCATCAGCGAACAAACATAGTTACAAGTGTGCAACCRCTACGCATTGAATGCGCACYACTGAGTCCTGCTTCTTCCGGCTATCATAGTGACTGTGAAAGTCMCATCACGTCACCTGTTGCACAGCAGCAGCACACGGCGGCAGAGAGTTTGTGGCGACCTTGGTAATACAATAGTATTGCAAAGCAAAGGAAAGCAAGGAAGGAGAGCGTGAGAGACTAGTGGGCATATACTGGGCATACTGATATGTCCACCACCAACTGTGATACTACAATGTGATGTTTCTATTGAACAACAATGTTATAATAACAACATTGAAAAAAACAACAATTAAGAATTTAACTATATACAAATAAATATAAAATATATACTTACACCGACAAGTGCATACGTACTTTTCATTTAGATAAATTGGGGGTCTCCCATGCGCTTCAACTATGCAGTAAGTTTCAATGTTGTTGCTTGTGGCTTATAATTTGTKGCTAATTACTTGACTCCTTTAGGTATTTTGATTCTTACACTTTTCATACACCCAGACACAGAAAAACACTTAATAACTCTTAATGAAATCAAAAACTATTAAACTTTAATAACTAATTAAAATTTCGTGCAATTGCTTCCGCCCATGCAAGGAAATTGGCATTTGTTTCCGTTATTTCTATAAAGTGTCATTAATGTATAAGTGCTGCCAAATTCTTAGAATTTTTTTTAGAAAATTTTAAATTTATGGTAAACTAAAAAAAAACAATTAGTTTTGTAATTACTAAAAAAAATTTCAAAATTTTTATACTCATCTATAAATTTAATAATTAAATACCTCAAATACTTCATTCTTTCATATGTAATAATTACTTCTAACCCTTTTTAGAAACAATAAACATATCMTAGATGCAGCCCTGTGCTCGCCATATGAATAGGCAGCACTATTTATGCGTTGAGTGACCAACTTGACACTTCGCATGAGATGACAATAAAAATGTCTGAAGTTACAATAAAATACTTACAAAATAAGCTGCTGGTCACTCCACAACTTAATTAGTTTTTTCGCGTCTGCGCATTTGGTTTGTTGTCGTTATTAATTTTATTTGATTTGAATATAGCGAAAAACTAGCTATTACAATTGTGCTGGGCCAATTGTAATTGAAAATTGTGTTGTATTGGGAGAGCACGTGAAAATGTCCGTAAATATTACTGTGAATGGAAAATTTCGTGCATGTAACAAACCAAGCATTTTGGACGATCCTGTGCGTGTAAAAAAGCAACTGGAAGGTGAGCTTCGTAAACAGCGTATACTTGAGGTAAGTAACCTGTGTCAATATGATATATAAGGATATGAATAATTTCCGCAATTCCGYAGGTACGTGAAGAATCAAAAAAGTTGGCGCGAAAAATACGCAATGATGTCGCAGCGGAAAAAGATAGACAGCTGCGAAATCTTGAGGCTATTAAAGCGCAGGAACTTGAATGTTGGCGGCAACATGTATTGGATCAGAAGAATAATGAATATCGACAAGCTATATTTCAAATCGGTACAGCACATAATGCCGCAAAGATTGAGAACGAAGCAATGGCAAAACGTCAAGCGGCAAAGGAGCAAGAGCGCATACAATTCAAAAAGAAAACTAATGAACGGATTGGTGCCAAACCCAAGCAAAATATAAAAAAGGTGCTACAAACTGCCGGCACACAAACACCAAATGTGCTAATGAAAGACAAAAAGAAAAMGACACCGAAGAAACGAAGACGAAAAATTTGCCCAAAAGATCACACATCAACTTGCCACTGCACAAGTGCTGAGAGCGAGTCAGATGATGATGACAGCCAGCATAGTGATGAAGATGACGCAGAAATACTAAGTGATTCTAATAAAAGTGAAACAACAAAATCTGTAAAAATTTGCCCATGTCCGAAAGTAATYAAATGTCCATGCACAAGCTCTTCATCTTCTTCGCTACTTTCCACAACGTGTACCGATGATGAAGAACTGGTTAAGAGTTCTGATGTAACAAATAAAAATACTATTCTCAGCAAAAATCCTGCTGTTATTGTGGATATCGATGTGGATAACAACGACTCGATAAGCATAACAGCTGGTGAAATTAAAGATAAATACGCACAGAGCAACCGGCAATTTCACCATATTGTGCGCAATAGTAGTCCTGAAAAGCCAATAAGTGCCCAACCAAAAGGTAGAACAACTACTACTACARCAAAACCACGTTTCACACAAGTTTCGCAAATTTTAAATGCAAAGAGTGCCATCAGTGTTTCACCCACACGTTCGCGTTCACCACCTAAGCCACCACCGCCATCGCTGGCAGCCACAACGGCTAGTAYGACAGCTAAATCGCCACATAAAAGTAGTACATCGGGTCGCAYACAAATTACACTTTCAGGCAACACAGTTACAATGGATAGCTGTAAAAGTGATAAGGAAAAAGATGCGCGCGAAAGTAGCCGCAATCGTGTCCAGTCCTATGATTACAACAACAAATATACKCGAGATTATGCACAACCCACCGAGGGTCTAGTGCATGAACCTACTTTTCGCGAACGTAATGGTCCATGTGCAGTAGCACAAGCGGAAATGGAAAGAGAATTAGCAATACAAAGAGATGAGGAGCGCAAAAGAATGAGGTTGGTAAACTTTAAAAATATGGTAAAAAAATTGAAAAAAATAAAATAAAATAAAATTGGTAATTACACAATTTTTTATTTACAGTGCGCGTTCTGATGAACGTGGTCGTAAAGCGCTTGAACGTGAACAAGCACGTCGTGATTGTGCTGAGCTTACCAAAAAGCTTGATGCGCTAACGCAGGAATATCCGCAACTGATGAATCCGACCGATGTGAGTTCTTTTTTACCCTGAGTAGCGTGTATTCAGTTTGCCACGTAGTTTGTAACACTCAGAACGGTTATAATTAAAWGATATCTTCACATATATTTTCAGGTTAGAATCCAAAACCATCAATTATATATAAGTCGTGAAGCACGCATAGAACAAAAACGTAATGCAGCCGTAGAAGACCTATTTTTGCATCCTGCAATCATCACCTGCCCAGAAATTAACAAACAGCACATTCACATTGGAAGTGCACAAGAAGGCGTCACCAGCACAAAAMCCGTTGGCGATAATTTGAATTTAGCATCACCACAAGATCAAATCAATAGTTCCTCTGACAGCCGTAGCTCTATACTGCTCGGTTATGTTGATGATCAGAAGAAGAAAATACGTAATGATTTGTTGAAATGCGCTGATGGTCAGCCAAATCAGAATAAACAAAAAGCTGAACGCTTAAAAAAATTGTTGCTGCGCATAGATGACTTGCGCAAAGCCTTGTGTGAGGAGCTGGAAAAGAATGGCAGCGGTGATAGCATGCAGCAGGTGATAAACGATGTGAGTGATGTGCGTCGCGAGCGTGAACGTATGCTGAATAAGGATGTGCCGCAGGAAAAYGGCAGACAATCGCCATTGGCCAAGCATTTAAATGATGTGGAACAAAAAGAAGCTGTTTTGGAACAAAAGCTGCGTGAATTATGTAAAATGCAGAAACCACAAGGTAGCCAAGTTAACACATATAAAGATCTTGGTAAACCAGCTGAAAATATAGTGAAAAGTATGTTTGAATTATTTCGTTTGTAATCAATTTATAACTTACACTTAATTTATTACAGAATCAGATGGCAAGGAGTGCAGAGTGCAGACCACAGGCAACAAACCGTTAGAAATCATAATAAAGTTGAAGAATGAGGGCAGCCGACGTGGCAARCAGAAAATGAAAAAGCCTACAAAGAGTCCACGAAAARTCTCCACTTTAATTGATACACCGACACGCCGTTTAGGCGTTAAACGTTCCGCCAGCAATGTGCGTGAGAAACCACAACAACAACAAAAAGTTTCTACTAATGACAAGCATGGTGCTATAAATCGACAAAATTCTTATGACTCCAATTCGACGTCATACCGCAGTYTACCATCCCGCATTGCCAACGACGTGGATGCGCTGGTCGATCAAATAGAATTAGCTGAGGAGGCAGACATTCACGSTGCTACGAATATACCAGTAACTGCTGAAGCGCAGACGACGACACAGCCAGCAAAATCAATTCAACGTACAGCGCGTTTGAATCCGCTCATAGCACACTATGTGCAACGTCTGTTGGGTATGTCACGTAATTCCGTACTCGGTTTAGGCGTAAGCTCTTCAGACATCGAAACACCCTCATCTTCCATTATGAATGTCAGTTCGAATCGTGTAAGCGCCACTGTCAACTTGGCCGACTCACAAGAACGCATACAACGTGTACAGAGATTTATCGARGAAAATCGTAGTTTTATCAGTGAGTTGGAAGACACAWTGCRCACGCAAAGCGATGTTACGCTTGAGACTAGCATTCGCATGTTTGAGGAGATTTGGCAGCAACGACTGCGCAAGGAGCAACACAGTGGCGGTGAAAGAGCAATGAAACAWYCGCAAKCAAGACCGCGTGCTGCAACAGGCAACGAGACTTACGTGCGCGATAACGCTGGAGTGGTGTCACAACAAGCTAAACTAACACGCAAGCCAGATAAAAGTTCAAGTGCAAGTCTACAGCAGCGCGCACMGATGCAGCAGGCACTCAYGCCAGCGRTAATACGAGCTAAGCAGACGCAGGGTAAAGATAAACAGGTGCAGGGTCAAGTTAAACAAGCGCAGGATCAAGATAAGCAGGAGCAGGGTCGGCAGCCACGACAAGCCGCGCAAAATGATGAAAAAACAGCGCGCATATCAACGGAGCGCGTTGTTACTACCACCAGTGTGGATTCGCAAACGAAGCGTGATATCTCAGTTGTCACAGAGGAGCGTCGCGCTGAAGAGCAAATCGCACGGTATGAGCAACTCACCGAGAACTGCACACAACGCATCGCRGAATTAACCGAGCTCATACAAAAAGTGCGCACAGAAAAGAAACGACTCATGGAGGTCACACTCAGTTCGGTAAGTGAGGGACGCAACTCAACCGAATACATCGAATTGCCCGATGGCACGCGTCGACGCTCAAACGCATCCGTCGATAGAAATACCAGCATCAGCAGTGGCAGCAGTGCTGGCGCAAGCGCACGTCACGCCTTGACCACACAACCAACCACCTCTATAGACTACACACCASCGGATATATTGGATCAGCAAACTGCYGCCACGTCAGCAGACGGTGTATCAGCGCTCGACAGCGCGGCGCCGCTTGAGAARCACAAACCGACRGGTATGAGTCACGATAGCGGCATTTCCATTTCACGTCCATTAACAGCACAGGATGTGGARCAGCCGTCGCAAGCGTCGAGCACAACACACCCGAGTCACCATGGCGGCGGTGGGCGTAAGTCGCGACCACCGCCTACTTTACAACGTTACAGCCCTAACTTTGCCGAAGATGATGTAGTACACGAGCTATCCACCATCATCGAGGTAGACACACCGGCTACATCGCGCGTAAATGCCACAACTGTTAGTGCAGCGGCCGCAGCAGCTGAGGCTTCACGCAGCAGACCTTTGCAACCGCAACCTTTCCCCACATTCGAAGAATATGCGCGTGAAATGAATTTAGATRTCACACAATTGGATGCGGACACGAGTCAACGCATAAATCAGGAATTTGATACGCTAATCGCACAGCTGTGTAATGCACAGAGTGGCGCAGTGCCGGACTATCGTGAGTTTCCATCGCTTTCAGCCTATCTGCGCAATTTGAGTGTACCGCAAGATGGCGCTGAACAGTCACAATCGCCGGAAACAATCGACGACTTGGTCTCCTGCCTACGCATAGCAAATCTCTCCATAAAACCGTTCCCGACGCGTCAGGAATATTTACGCCAATTAGCAAAAAATTCTCAGAGTGGTGAGTTTCTCGATAGCGCCAGTCTGGAAAACATCTCCGACGCACGTACGAACAGTAATACAGAAACCGAATCGGAATCAATAAACATTGAAGAGGAGCTGAGACGACGTCAACTGCTACAGCATTCATTTCGCACGGCCAAAACAAAGGAGCAAATATTCTCCTCCACTGTGAGGGATGGCGGTGAAAATGCGCGCACCAGTCATGCACGTGCCTTCKCCGCAGAAAGCGGCATTGAGAAGCTCTCCTCAACATCTGAGAATGGTTCCAGTGAATTCGAACGTCAGCTATTCAGTTTGGGCATGAAATGGCCGGCAACAATGCGTGCACGCACCAAGGAGGCAAAGACRGTCGGCAATAGTAACAGCTCAAGCAGTCCGGAGCGTGTGGCACCCACAACTGACGCCACTGCGCAGCGTAATAGTCCGAGAAAAGACGTCAATAATGCWGTGCTGAAGAGYCCACAGCGCTCACCAGACTCCACATTGCGTGGCGTCAGCCCTAAACGTGTGGAATCGGTAAAAATTAGCGCTAMWAAGGAAGTGCAATTTGAGCGTAGCGTCGATGAGCGCTCACCAACCCATAGTCCAACGCGTGAGGCAGCAAAACAAAAATTGCGACACAGTCCTGAACGTCTTGAGGTCAACACCAACAAAGATAACTCGCACCAAAAACAGCGAAGCATCAGTCCTACRCCTGATAGGTCCACCAAGGACACAGCGGGACATGATGCGTCAAGAAAGTATAAAAGCGTAAGTTATATACTCACAATTTCGACAATAGCCACTCTCTCTAGCTATACGACTGCCTTTCTTTCTTTTCTCTTCCCTTTTTATTTCTTCTCTCACCTTCTCCTTGTTTCTTCTCTCTCTCTCTCTCCCTGTTTCTTGTCTCTCTCTCTCCCTGTTTCTTCTCTCTCTCCCCTGTTTCTTCTCTCTCTCCCCTGTTTCTTCTCTCTCTCTCTCCCTGTTTCTTTTCTCTCTCTCTACCTGTTTCTTCTCTCTTTCTCTTTGTTTCTTTTCTCTTCTTTTTTCTTCTCTCTCTGTCTCTCTCTCTCTCTTCTCTCACTACCTCCACCTTCTCTCTACCTTTCTTTTCTCTCCTTGTATATTCATGCTTCTTCGCTCTCTATCTCCGTCTTTCTTCTCTCCCTCTCTATCATTCTGATCTCCCTYTCTCACTTTTCTTTCTCCCACCCTTTCATTAATTTTCCTCATTCTTTGCTTTCTTTCCTTCTTTCTTTTTTATAATTTTATTTCTATCTCCTCTCTTTATAATTTTTTCTTTCTCTCTTTCATTTTTTGCTTTCTAATTCTCTTATTTCTCTTTTTTGTTCCCTTATTTCTCTTTCTTTTCCCTATCATTTGTCTCCTCTTTCTCACTCTCTTTCAATTTCTATCTCTTTTCTCTCTCTATGTCTTTTTTCTCTCTATCTCTTATCTCTCTCTATTTCTTATCTCCMTCTATCTACTTTTTACTTTCTATATCTTTTTCTCTCACTCTTTCTCTCAACAACTATCTAACTGAATTATGTAAAAAATATTAATAAAATTTCTTCCTTCAGGCTCAACGTAGTCAAACACGCTCTAGCGATTGCGAGTTCCTAAGCGACTTTGGACGACCGTTAAATTTACGCGATTTCCTCACCAAAGAGCTGTTGAAACATGCCAGCTCTTCGAGCACATCATCGACCCCAACAGACGAATCGTTGCGCAGTGCCTTCTTGCAGTCCRTCATWGAAACGATGACACCGCGCACCAATAACGGYGGCAGCAATCAACTGGACAGACAGAARACTTCCACGCCRGTTACACATTCCGCAAGCTCGAATGCGCAAAGTAGCGGAGATCATAGCGAAAGCAGCGCAACCAATACACAATCACAACTATTCTCCGGCGAAAGTTGCATATCTTCGGTGCGCTTCTTCGAACGCTCCATAACGCGCACATATCCGCGAAATACGCCAACCGCTGAAGGTGATGCACAAAAGRAAGTGATGGAGGAGCAAACAAATGACAATAATGCCAGCCAAAAATAACGTTTTTGCCTGTGACTTCGGTTTATGCGCATGCGCTGTGAACCTTTGCTCTTAAATAGCTATATATATTTAATTTAGTTTTAACATTTTGCATCTCTTTGTTTTACCTACACACAAATTCATTAGTTAATCATGCAACCCAYTGCTGACATATGTATAGCGRCAAATRCATACATACATACAAATATATATTTAAGTAGATAAATAAGCCTTTTTGTTATCAGTATAAATACCTATTTGTTAAAGATTTTATAATAATTGCATGCATAACGATTTTACATATATCCATGACACATTGGATTTTGTATTGGACGCATACAGCCGATGTGCCTAGGACATGTAGATGATTTTTATTTGTTCTAATTTGATTGTGTGTATTTTCGAAAGCAATGTTGATAAAGATACACATTGATTGTTAATTAATTAAGACGAGAAGCAGCGCAAGAGTATGTAAAATGCAATGAAATAAATACATGTACATACATATGCATTATTGATTATCTAAGATTTTAAAGTTTTGAAAATGAAAGTTTTCCTTATTGAAGCCACATACATACCTAAACC